AAATAGCTTTCCTAAAAACACGTAAAAAAAGAGAAGAGATATCTAATTTATTACATCCATTGTGGGATGAATAATAAGATGTTTAATTCTACTAATATTTTAAATAAATAGATGACGTTAACTAGTTGAATGCAAATTGTTACTTATATTTATTAACAAAAGCATTGATTAGTAAAATTATAAAAATATTAACTGTAATATATTATATAACTGTCAAATACGTCTGCAAAAGTGGCATTTTACCTAATATTTTATAAATAATTATATATAATAGAGGATTATAAACTATATGTCTACTTACTTTTTATAAATAAATCTTACTTATTTGGATTTGGACCTTGAAAACAATTTTAGAAAGAGACATGATAATTAAATTTAAAAATCAATAATATAGTTGATTAGTGATGTTAAACTCGGCTTTACAATTAAATTTGTTAATTTTCAATTAGTAAATGATTATATTAATTTAATTAAAATTATATAATAATTTAAATAATAAAAGTCAATTAAGATTCAACTGTTAATGCTAAATTAATATTTAGTGAGTGATATTGATATATTTTTAACACAGAATTTGATCGCAAGCTGACATATTGAAAATTTAATTTATATATATTAATCTATTCTAATAATTAAAATAGTATTATTTAATAAAAATTTAGATATTCTTATTAATTTTTAAATAATAAATTAAATCTATATATTACTCAATATAATTATAAAAGAAATTGTTCAGGGAGCAATTAAAAAAATTTATTTTAGTTCAAGGGGATATTAAGGAGTCATTAAAAAAAATTTGCCAGGAGGCTATTCAAATTTTTCAGGAGGCTCGAGCCCCTGCGCCCCCCCCCCTAGCGACGCAACTGAGTAGAGGTTATAAGTGATATAAGATGCACTAAATATCAATTATATAATGTTTCAATGCTGTTAACTCTTTAATATATGAGGGTACTATAGCTACAACTACTTTCTATTGAACAAGGGTAAAAGTTTAATTCGCCTGTTAAGTCAGAGATTGATTGGAATTAGTAGTAATTTGTCTTTATTTGACGTATTTATCAAGAATGAAAATAAAATGAATAAATTTTTATCTGTTATATATCAAAAATAATCATTCTTTATATATCTCGTAAATCAATTGTTTCCAATCACTTTATATAATTAACAACATAAAATATATTACAATCTAAATATATCTTCTTTTCGTCTTAAATGAAACATTTGTCAAAAATTAATATTAAACGTAAATGTAATTGAAAACACCACTTTAAATACATAAGTTGTATCATACAACACTTTCCAAAATTAGCCTTTTTCAAAAAATTAGCGCAAGCGAACTATAGGTATTTGTTAAATGTAGCATAGGTATTTAAGTAGCTACTTTTAAAATTATGCCTACGTTTTTCCCATTATGGCCAATGATGTATATATATATATACTGGTATGGTAATGGATATAATATATATTTTAAAAATTGTGATTTTGGGAAAGCATCTGTGTTCTAGTCGATAAGAGTGTTATAATAAAACGACTACGACTACTTATTATTTCAAAATTATCACATCATATTTTTAATTCGAATGTTCCATTCTTTTTTATAAAATATATATAAATAATATTTAATACAATTTATTACAAGTGTCGCCTGCCAATCCGATGTTGGATTGGTGTGCAAGGATCATGCTTTTTTCTGAAATCAACTTTGTGGTTCTGTCCGGGAGGGGGCTGATATTTACTAGATTGGACTCAACCATTAGATTACATTGATGTATGGTCGTCTGAGAATTAGGATCTTTTATCTACACTTTTTGTAATTTTACAGGAGAGCAATTTAAAAAATAGTTTCTATTATTTTTAATGGGATTGTTAACCTTGTATCGAATTTAATTTGAGTTATATTAAAAATATTTCGGATTTTAAAATATAAATAGAATGGTATAATTATAAAAAATTGATTTATATAAAAAAGTAATTTTTGACAAAAAGTGGTTATAAAATAAGCTAATTCTTAGGCGACTATATATCAAAATAAAATGGGTAGGTCTTATATAACATTGTAATAAATTTTGATAGGTTATTAGCAAATTAGGTAGTTATTAGTAAAATTGCTATAGTTAACTTGGCAAACCTATTTATTTTGTCTTTTTCTAAATAAAATATTTTAATAAATTTATAAAAATATTAGAATGTCATACAATATTTATCCTTCTATCGTCTCCTCTCATTTTTTTTCTTTATCGTATCATAATAGCAGTCATATTCGCTGTTTGATCTTGTGCCTTTATCTTTTACGCTATCGGCCATACGATGTTAGTCGCTATACGATCGTTTACATCCGTTGTTATTAGGTTGATTTTCAGTAATAGTTTCTATTGGGTATCGTAGATATGCAATTGAGTTCTTACTGCTTAATTTCTTTGCTCACTGTTATACTTTGTGTCATATGAAGATATATGAGGTGATAAATAGAAAGAAAAAAGCATACATAAACATTCATTCATTTATATTTTTAAATTTTAATATTCTTTTAATTTTTTTTATATTTTGGATATATTGTTTTTATTTGGTCTGATTATTTTAGGATATAATAAGAGGTTGACATTATATTAAATATATTTTATATTTAATTCTATTATTGTATATACATAAAATGGTATTTATATAAAAATGGTGACTTATGACTAAAAAACAAAGGAATCAAACACTAACAGGTTCAACTAGTTCAAACACCTTGGTGTGCGGCACAACAACTGTTATATCTTTAATACCTTACATATTTTAAAAGGTTATCATTTGAATATTATATTTGTTATATAATATTATAACTTTTCTACATTTAATATTATATTATCTAGGTTAATCAAATTGCATACTATTAGAAGTTAAATTTAATAATTGTATGTATATACAAAAGAATTACAAATAAAATTTATTATTGTTTTTAAACGTGATTGATACAATATTTAGCGACGAGGTATAAAAAAGTCGCGGTTTTCGCTCTTCGGTCAAGTTAAATATTTTATAGACTCGTAAATTTTTTTTCTGTTTATAAGAAAAAAAATAATTGTTCTGTTTAAAAATTATGGATAAAATTATATTAAATGATTTCAAAAAAGATGAATGTTCTCTCGACGACTATATAGACTACATCAAATATATGCTGAATGTTAAAAATATTTCTCAAACTGACGCCACTTTGAAAAAATTATTTATAGCTTATGGAGGAATAAATATTATAAATGATATAAAAAAAATTACTGTTTCCAAGAAAAATTGATGATGTGGTATGGGTAGATCTATATAAAATTGCAAAACAACTTTATAAAAATGAAAGAACTGTTTTGGCATCTAGAATTGATTTCATTAGTGTTGCGACTTTTATATTTAGGAATTGATTGTTGCAATTTTTGCTAGAATTGGACACAACTAATAACGCAAATAATTTTTATTTTTAAATATCTCACAAAAAAATATATAATGAAATTACAAAATCGAAAACTTTTTTTTATAAATAAAATATATATTAATAATTTCTTTATATAAAAAAAAAATCAAAAAAAAAATTAATTGTTATTATTTACAACATCTCACCCCTTTATTTGGGATGAATTATAGGTTTGATTTCTAGATTTTCGTCCTCTGGGTTGGCCAATAACATATCCTCAATTTTTTGTATTTCCCTCAATGAAGCTTCTGCTACCGAGTTGTAAAGTGATCATTAATCACAGATCCTCTAGAAAAAATTGTTCTGGGCTCCCCGGATACTTGTCTCATAAAGTTATTCGCATTAGAATTTGAGACAATTCCCTTTGCTGCGAAACTCGGAACTCTCCATACCCTTTTTCTCGGTAACGTTCCATTCGCTCGACAGTCTACAATCTTATGACCCAGTCTACCACATAAAAAACATTGGATATTGCTTATAGGTGTTCGTGATTGTTCTCTCATCATTGAATATTCAGTCAAATCCTCTTCTTCTCCCATCATAATCGTGTTATAATTGTTTGTCGAAGGTAATGTGTACGGAGCCCCTCGTCCATTTATTGAAAATTGAGGCTAGGGTGTAATCATACCTTGCTGCTGTATTAACCAACTATTTAACCAGGCATCAGCCAACGGACTCCCTAAATTAGCCTGGTTCACTTGTATTATGGATTGTGGCGTTCTAATGTAGAAAGTCATCATAATTTTCATTATTTTTAGAAATTTTATTTTAAATTCAAAACTTTCTTTTAAATTAAATTATTTTATTTAGAATTAAAAATCCGAAACTTTCTTTAAAATTAAATTATTTAATTTAGAAAGAAAAAAATTTTTTTTTAAAAAAATGATTTTGTTAACCTTCCTTAAAATAAATTTTTTTTTATTTCTAACCTCTTTTCAATTCCTTTTTTATAAAATCGCATTAAATAAATTTACCTCTATACTCCAATTAATAAATACCCTATTTCTTGTTTTTATTTTTACTATATTTTTTTTTTTAACCAAACTTATCCTTGATCCCTAAAATATTTCCTATTTTTATATTTGAATATTCTTTGATTTATGCCTGATCCCAAAAATATTTCCAATTTTTTTATTTAATTTTCTTTGATTTATGTGTGAACTCATTTATTTAAATCTTAACATTAAATTAAAAAAAAATTTTTTATAAATGATTTTGTTAACCTTCCTTAAAATAAAAAAAAATTTATTTCTAACCTCTTTTCAATTCCTTTTCATAAAATCGCATTATAATACCCCAATTAATAAATACCCTATTTCTTGTTTTTATTTTTACTATATTTCTTCTTTATCAAATTTAACCTCGAAAAAATACATATTAATTTAATTTCAATAATCTTCATAAATATGTTCAGTTCAGATTCATTTTTTTTATAATCATAACCCATCCCAACACCAAAAAGAAAATTTAACCTAGCATATTTATTTATCAACTAAGTTTATTCGCGACATTTTAACTGATCTCTATGGCGACGCACTTCCTTCATATCTTCCAATTATATTTGACATAATTTATTAACTAAATAATCTATAATTATTCCCCTTTCCCATATTTTACCACTCCCATACATTCTAACCCAGACCTTTTGTTCAACTATATATTCATATTCATATTCCACATTATTTTCAATTTCTAAAATTTTCGAAACAGGTTTCAACATATCTAAAAAAGCATTAGTTTTTCTTCCCAACATTTTTTCTGAAAGAGATTTACCATCCTTTCCTACCCCATTATTATAATATAAATGAGCAATCAAAATTTCTTCTTTGCCTTCTTTGGCCTTTCTCAACCAACTCTTAACAACTGCCACCAATATTTCTACCTTTCCTTTAGAACTAGGGTGATACGGTGGTGCCAGCATATGTTGCACATTATATCTCAAACAAAAACTCCCTAACATTTTACTCACGATCCCCGGACCACCATCCGAAACCACCTATTTCGGAATGCCGAATCTAGACCATAATTTTTTCAGATGTTTAATAACAATTCCCGTAGTTAAAACATGTACCTCTTCAAATTCAATCCACTTTGAAAAAGCATCTACACTTAAAATAATTTTTTCATCATTACACTCAAAAAAATCTATATGCACTCTTTCCCAAGCTCTATTTACTTAAGGCCAAACACTTTTCTTATCCTGACACAGCATGTTTGCCCATGCGTTACAAACTTCACAATTTTTTCCTATTTTTCCAATTTCACCATTCATTCCAGGCCACCAAACATATTCCCTTCCCCACTGTATCATTGGCGAAATCCCTTGATGTCCCGCGTGTAATATTTTCAGAACTTTGTCTCTCAACTGACTCGGTATAACAGCTCTATGCCCTCTCATTATACAACCGTCTACCACCGTTAACTCAGTTTCAATACATTTAAATTTATCCTCACCTGCCCCATGGTTTTTTTCCCGTTATTTCAATTTTAATAATTACATTTTCTTATCTTTTAACGTATAATTTCTAATATCCTCCTATGTGGTGAGACCACCCCGTAAACCACAAGTTAAAGTACAGATTAAGGCTGCTTCACCTTTCCTATCTCGACCTGATAGTTTCTCATCGGTCTCTTCACCAACTCCCAATCTCGATAAAATATCTGGTAAATGATTTTCTTTTCCTTGCCTATACCTTAATTCCAAATCAAAACTACCCACTAATAATAACCACCGTTGAAGTCTAGGTGAAATCATCAATTCTCTATTGTCCTTCTTAAATAAATAAATTAACGGCTTATGATCAGTGTATACTACAAATTTCCTACCAATTAAATATTCCCGACATTTTTTAAGACCGAAAATAACAGTTAATGCCTCTTGTTCAATCACCGAATACCGTCTTCTACATCCCGAAATACTCTCGAAAAAAATAATACAGGTTTCTCAATTCTATCCATTAAATAACAATGCTCTACCCACACCTTTATTCGATGCGTCCACCGCTAAAATCACTTCCAATTCATTATTAAAACATACCAAAATGGGTTCCTTTCCCACTTTCAATTTCAATGCCATACGCCAATTCTTGTTCATTTTTCTATTCAAAATGTATATTTTTCTTTAATAAGTCATATAATGGCGCAGCCAATTTAGCAAAATCTTCTATAAAACGATGATAATAATTCACCAAACCCAAAAATGATTGTACCTCAGTTTTCGTAGTCTATTTATTCATATTCGCAATACTCATTAAATTTTTATCTAAGGGCCTTATTTCGGTCCCATTTATTTTATCCCAAATATGTAACTTTAGTTACTCCCATAACACTCTTTTCACGACTCGCTTTTAAATCCTTATCTCCGATTCTTATGAAAACTTCCTCCAATCTCTGATTGTGTTGCTCAACCGTTACTCCAGTCACTAAAACATCATTCATATAATAAAAAATTCCTTCTAAACCCTGAAAAACTGCCGCCATAGTGCGCTGAAAAATTGGGGCTGAAATACTTAACCCAAACGGTAACCGACAAAAAGTAAATAATCCATTAAACGTTGTTATTGTCAATAATTTTCTTGTACATTCTTTCATAGGTAAAAGTAAATATGCACATGAAAAATTTATTTTAGAAAAATATTTTGCCCCTCTTAAATTTGCTAAAATTTCCTCAATTCTTGGTAACGGGTATTTACTTCAACTACTCAGATTAAGAGTAACACGAAAATCAACACAAATTCTCAAATTTCCATTGGACTTCCGCACCGGAACTAATGGTGTTGCCCATTCACTATATCCAATAGGGAAAATAATTCCATCTCGCAACCAATTATTTAAATCACTTTCCATTTCGGCTCTCCATTCGAAAGGTACTCTGCGAACTGCACAATACTGTGGTATATATCCCTCTTTTTAACATATATCTACTTCATAATCCACCAAACATCCTAATTTTTCTTCAAAAATTTCTTCATATTTAACCTCTAAATTTATCACCGTATTTCGTAACTTTTCCAAATTTTCATGTGACCCTTTTTCCTTTAACAAATCTTCTCTTTTCATTTTTTTCCTTACTAATTTCGCCGGAAATTTAAGTGATACAGGCAATTTTTCCTGCTCCAAATTTGATTCTTTATACATTTTATCACAATTTATATAACTATTTTCTACCTCGGATTCTTCTTCAAATACCTTACTGTCAATTTCCAAATTAAAATCCTCAACATTAACTTCCAAAACATTATCGATTTTCAAATCCAAAATTTTATCCATTTCATTAATATAATTTTCGTCACATTTAATATTTACAATTTCAGGAAAACCCTGATCAGTTTCCCCACTTGCTTTTATATTTTCCGTAATTTCCAAAATATTATCTACTAAATTTTCAATTTTATCAATATCCTTTTTCTCCATTCCTTACATTTCGCTCATTACATTCTAATTTGATTTCTTCTTTCATAATTTCATTTTTAATTTCCAAATTTTTAAAATCATCATCCGTTTTTGAAACAATATCCAATTCCAAATTATGAATTTTTTTAATTTCCTGACTATTATTCATCAAATTTTTAATTTTAATATTTTCTGAAACTATATTTTTTACCAATTTATTTTCTACGTTTTTAATATCTAACTCCTCTACTTGAAACATATCCCAAAAATTATTCTCTAACCCAAATTTTGATATCCAAGCCCACCCCATAATCGCACCAATTTCTTCCTTAAGTATCCAAAGATCCAAAAAATACACTCTCTCTTTAATTAATACTGGTAAATTTACCCTTCCCAAAACTAATATTTCCGTTCTATTTAATTGTATTCCTTCTTTTATTTTGATTCCAAATTTATTTTTAAAACTTAATATATTTTTCGGTATTAATTCTTTCTTTTGATTTAATGAGTTTTCCGATGTAATAACCCCAAATGTTGTTTTTTCACTATCATACACAGAGATGCGAACCCGGCATTTAGCCCCGGGTTCGGTTCGGGTTCGGTTCGGGTTCGGTTCGGGTTCGGTTTATGGAAATATTTTTGAACCCGGGTTTGGTCGGGTTCAGCTCGGGTTTAAGAATTTTCGAATTGATATTAAAAAACTAGACATAAATTTGGTATAAAAATAAATTTTTTATTTTATTTATAGGCAAAATACATTTAAAAATACAAAACAGTCATAAACCTTGAAATAAAAGAGTTAAAGAGGATAAATTTTAAATATCAATGATTTCATAGAATTAAAAAACAGATGTATAAATTTAATTTCAATTATAATATACACTTCATTAATATATATTAAAAATTAATCTGAACAAAAAATAAATCAATATAATAATTTTTACTTTGACTTGTTCATTCCTTTAATTAGTAATCTTTGAGACTAAGTTAAAAATTAAAAATAAATGGCGTGAATGTATTTAATTGCTTTAAATTTATTTAACACTCCAATAGGAATCTTTGAAAATAAATTTTAAAAAAAATTAAAAAATGGCGTAAATGAATTAAGTTGTTTAAAATTTATTATCACTTCACTTAAAAGGTATTATGATAATATTATAATATCTCAATTAAATTATTAATATTTGTATTTACAATTATACAAATATCTTAATATATGATTTTAAACAATACACTGAACCCGCTTGAACCCGGGTTCATAAAAATTCCTGGGTTCGGTTCGGGGTTGTAAAAATTTTATAAATGGGATTCAGGTTCGATTCGGGTTCAGATTTTTTAATCAAAAACCCGGGTTTACTCCTCCGGGTTCAGGTTCGGTTCAAATCCCTGATCATACAGTCATACTATAGGACAAATTACTTCCTTCATTTTTCGTTTCTTTAGGTATTACATTATTATATTCATTTTTAATATTCGTTCCTGGTAACCCATTTTTAACAAGTGGAAACGCTACCGATGGAAACACATTGATACCTGTTTGTTCCCTTCTAAAACATTTCGATGTATGACCTGTTCTTCCACAATTTAAACATGATTTTACCTTTCTTAGTTTTTTTGTATTTTAAAAGTTGACACATAACATTTTTCGGCATTGTGACCAGTATTTCCACATCTTCCACAAACAATTGGTAGAGTTTTCTGCATAATTCTTTAATTACAATCATGGCTTATATGTCCATATTTTCCGCAAATAAAACATGGTCCACTTGGCCCCCTTATTATCTGTCGATTTCTGTCATCTTCTCTTTGATAAATATTTTCTCTTTTATTATCTTTATAAATATGTTCAGATTCATTTTTCTTTTTTTTTATTTGCTCCTCCATATCTTTTATTTTTATTTTCTTTTTTTCTACTTCCAATTTAAAAATTTCCTTCTCCATTTTTTTTGCCTCAACTTTCTCCATTTCTTTTTTTTATTCTCTATTTCCTCTTCTTCCCTTTTTTCACGTTTAATATCTTCCCATAATATCTTTCTTATTTCCTTAATTTCCTTTCTTTCCATTTCTTCCTTTTCTTTTTCATTTCTTACTATTTCCAATTTTTATTTTTCTAATTCATTTATTATTACTTCTTTAATTCCCCATTCTTCTATTTTAAATTTTTCTATTTCATTATTTTTTATTTCCATTTTACTATTTCCGATTTTTTTCTTCTTCTATTTTTCTTTTAATTTTATCCATTTCAAATATTAATTTTTCAAATTTATCCTCTGCCACAGTATCTCTAATGATATCAATTTCTTTTTCAATGTCGATAATGATATTTCTTTCCATATTTCCATTATTTCACCTTTAAATTTAGATATATTATCAATAATTTTTTCGCTTTCATTAATTTTTTCATTCATTATAATCTTTTTCCTTAATATACTCTTTAATTTATTTCTTCTCCATACATAAATTAATCCAATACGTACAATTAAAATTACATATAAATAATTATTACTGCATTCCACATATTTAAAACGTATTTATACTTTGTTTAAGATTAAACATGGTTAATAAAAA